GGAAAAGTGCCAGCCAAATTCAGGGAGTTATTCCGATTACACAAGGGCTCAAGTATTTTTAGATCAAGGTCTGGAGCTAAATTGTATAATCTTGTCATGAAACATTTCTTCTAGAAAAAGAACACATGTCAGTGTGAGTTACCCCTGTCACTGTCCACACCAGCATCTCGCAGAACACAAATCCCAGAACACAAATCCCAGATCCTATCGGCAGCAYCAATATAGCCAGAGAGCGAGCCCTGGACTCTTAACAAACTTCATAAATTCACAGACCTCTCCTTACAATGCAGAAGCAAACCTGTCGGCAGATTATTCCGAGTGCATCTCAGGCACAACATAACGGCAGCCKCCAAGCAAGCTGAAGTCACTTATTTCTGGAAATGCCTGCATTTTGGTGCTTTGCTTCACATCAAACTTGGGTACTGACGAGACACCTCGGGGCCAGCCAGGCGAGGTCTCTGGCTCCACGTGGGTTTATTGCCTGGCCAGGTTCCCAACCCTGTGTCCTCCCAGTCAGCTGAGACCTGCTGCCTCATTTCTCTCCCCTCCACACTAAGCTGCTCAGTTGTGTGACATGCTCTTTAGCAAAAAACATTATACATTTGGCTCGATGCTGCCTATAGAAAATATCCAGTGTTAGAAGACCTTTATGGGAGACCCACTTGCATTGTGTTACATGGTTGAATCAAGACAGCAGATTGAGCCAAAAGCCAAACCTACATACCTTGAAATTTTGGAGAATTTTGACAGTGCCCAGCACTTTGTGGTTTGTTTCGCCTTGCAAGAACTGCAGAATATCAAATAACAAATTTTGTCCTGTATTTCCCAGCACACCTACTCTAGAGCTAAACTCTCAGAGAAGCCCATGAAGTTCCCATTAGTTCAATCCAGGAACAACTTCAAAACATGCCCAACTTCAAAGCCTGTCACATCTAGCATGTCTCATTACCTAAAGCCACATGATCTGAGGAGCAGCCTGAAAGGTGCAAAGGTCCAGTCAGTTATTCCCCGCATATCAGAAACATGTACTCAGAACAAACCTATTTTTTATCTTTCTTTTTCTTTTCTYTTTTTTTTTYYTTTTTTTTTTTAGCGTTGTAGCAGGCTTTGGTATAAAGGGTGTCTTACCATGAAAATGCCTGGAGTCAGTTTTCATCCCCACTTCTGAAACTAAGACTTTGTGACATCTCTTTAATATTTTTCTTTGACAGAGATTTCAAAGGCTCATTGTTTTCCTTTAGATGGTCTCTATGTCCCTTCATCATTCCTTGAAGGACTGAGGGAGATCTAGACCCTGAGAATAAAAATATCTATATGTGAAACAAGTAGGTTTGAGACTTTGTTGATGATTTTGTGCACCTACAGTTGTGTAAGCTTTCACAAGAGACCCAGTGCCTGCAAGCAGCAAGATTACAATCTTCAGTGAATAATATATAATATATAATATATAATATATAATATATAATATATAATATATAATATATAATATATAATATATAATATATAATATATATATTATTCACAATTACATATTATATATTCAAAATATATATTCACAATATATATGACAACACCATTCTAATGTATATGATAGGTATATTGTTGTAGGTGTACATAAAAACGACCCTTCTGGCTTACAGACAAACCAGAGGCTGCCACCTCACTGCAGGGAGCTTCTTTTCTTTGCATCTCTCATGCGCGGATCGTCCTTGAGCARGAAGGGAGTTTAATTCCAGCCACTGTACAAAGGGGCTTCATTCACCACCACCACCCCTCGTCCATCCAGACAGAGGAAAATGCTGTGTGGAAAGGCCAGCAAGGGCTAACTAGTGTTAGGCTATGAAGAAATACAGAAATACAGCATTAGGCTCTTCCTCAGCAAAGGAGATATAGAGCTATTTTAAGACTCAACTAAAGCTGCTTATTCACAGGCTCCCTGTAAAATATGAGATGTCATAGATGGAATGCTTAGAATGGGTGTTTAAGGAAGACAGCAGAACAAACATTTACATAATCTTCAAATATTAATATTTATAAATAATACCTGAACATCTGCTGGCTAGAAAAAGGTCACTGACATGGAAATAACTTCCCAAGGGTCAGAACAAATGCAGTCTATTTTTAGGTTATGGAGGCTACTTTGAACATGAGCAAAGCACAAAACTGTGTCATTAGCACTGCACCCAATAACCCATCTCTAATGGGCTGATCAAGGCAGGGCGCCCATGCCTTTTGGGCTGTTAATAACACAACTTATATAACATTTGCCTGGTTGTTTGATCTTCCCAAAGATATCTCTTCTTGAAAAGCCTTTTTCTTTCCTCTAAAGTTCTYCTCTCGGTTCACCTTGTGTAACCCCAGCCTGTTCTCTCTAGTGGCCACYACTCTCTTGTGTTGGCAGCTTGCTGGACTGGTCTCTGCAGAAGAGCAGATGTCCCCTGCATGGCCACCGTGAATTTCCTATTGAACCCATCCTTGCTTTAGGCTTTTCCATAAGAGCTAAATGATGATGAAGTAGGATGGTTCACTAAAAATGTTGGAGTTTAACAGCTGCCCATTATTCCTCCAAGCTTGGGAATCATCACATTTACAGAAAGGGACTTCATTGTAGTCTAATGTCACTCACAATTTCCTTATATTTTTTTTCCAGAGATGAAAAATTTCTCATTTACAGCATGATTTTGTGGGCCTGCTGCAATAGCATGTGGCTGGATTCCCAGTTAGACTCTGGTCCCCAGCAGGGCTCAGAGAGCAGCAAGGGTCTTAGAGCAGTGACCAAACACAGTCTCACCTGTCCCACAGGCTCCTCTGCTATTCTTCAGCGGCACAACAGCCACGATGTCACATGCCAGTCAGACTACATCAGTTTCACTGTCACTTACCACTGTGAAAAGCTGGAATAAATCACAGTGCCGAGCAAATCACCGTGACTGTGTGCAGAATAACATTGTGGAAGAAAATACGCGGATGAGCTCTTTAAAAGCTTTCATTTTTCTTTCTTTTATATTCATCCATCACTAAAAATTCAATATAAAAGTCCATAGCTGTGCAAGAACCTATAAAATACAAGTTGCCTCCTTGCATACGAGCAATGCTTTCCAAGGCTTTAGCACAATTTTGTTGATATTCCATATCTCTATACTGGGCAGATCTGTAACATGAAGTTGTTTTCAGCRAAAGTTACAGAAATCAGGTGCTCCCTGCATAAAAAGCCACTCTCTCATCAGAGCTGTTATATTTCTGATATCATATACATTTCTGAGTTATATGCATTTTATAGATGCCTCTCCGAGTTTTTAGACTCTAGAGCTATTCTGAAGTGCAGAAAGTAGCATAGGAAAACAGCAACAGAAGGAGATTAAAATGCAGCTACATTAGAGTAGCTGGGGAACAATGTGCACGTCTGCTTGGTGTGAACTGCCTGCAGAAATCATCCTCATGGGCTCCATGATTCTGATAAAAATAGTAAATATTTGATCTTTGCAGAAGCCTAGCACCATGATAGTGAGTGGATGCCTCAGAGCAAAGCGCCTGCTCCCAGCTGGGCCCATGAGCACATTGTGGCCACCAAATGCCCTGGCCGAGCAGGGGACTGCTGCAATCTGCCTTCAGAGCGAAGCTGCAGCGCCTGCTTATGTACGGAGAGATTCCCTGTCACTGTTCTCCACTCCTGCCAGCCCTTGGGATAAGGCAGCTCCAGGAGAGCCTAAAGTCCTGCTGGAATTCACCCAGGCGCCTGGTGAACTGCAGCCTTGTTGGCACTCCAAAAGGCTGGTGTTGATTTCTGCCTTTCAGAGGCAAAGCCTGCTCCCCTTCTCCCTTTGCAAGAGTTGCAGGAGTTGCAAGAGTTTGTCACCGGCTTCAGCTTGCTCAAGGAAGGAGTTTTACTTAGGCAAGAGCTAGACATTTACTAAACAATGCAAAAACATTCGGAGCAAAAACGTTTACTGCTAAAACAGACTCCATTAAGCTGAAGTGAGCAGAACAAATCCTGGTCCCATATTTGTACTCTGTCTCCGAGTTTTTTATTTTTTCCTCCTTGTCCTGTTTTGGCTCATATTTTACTATCAAGTAGATAAGCTCTAGTTTCTACATCCACCCTTGGAAAGATAGTGGTCACTGCCATCCCACAAGCTGCCAGAAGGCAAGTGTGYGGGATCCCCCTCTTCCCACTTCCATAGTTTGAGGGCTGTCCACTTGGGGCCCACAGTAGCACACAAGGCAACCCGTGTCCATGGGATGGGCATGCAGCCACAGCTGCAGGTCCTCAATGCCTCCCGCTATGGGACTATCAAACCTGGACCTGTCTCTGGGCTTTGCTGCTCCCTTCTCTGCTGCTCCAGAAGCGTCACCGGGACAGGCACACATGTGGGCCAGGAATGATCTTTAGCACCAGAAGCACCATCTTCTGAGGGGAAAGGAAAAACTCTGGCATAGACACAGGCAGACTCAACCTTGCAATGCTTCAGAAGAACAGAAGATGGGAGTGAGGGAGTCTAAGAGGTCATCGAAACCACTGATGAGAAATGGATATCAACCCAAAAAGAAGGCTGGACAGACAGTCCCAGTCCCTCAGAGAAGCAAATCCCATGACTCTTTGGGTTTTTTTTGTCTTTGAAAGGCCATGTTCCTTCCCTAATCCACCCTGCAACTACTTACTATGCAACTACTATCAAGTAAACTGAGAAGCTCATTGCTACCTCACAACTACAAATGAGCAATGAAACCTGCAGCTTCTTCTCCTCAACAGAGTGAAATATTACCATGATGCTCAGTCCTGAGCATTGAAGAAAAATAGCAAAAAGGACCAGCTTCAACAACAGAAGAAATGTAGTTGAGCAGAGTGCAAATAAGGATGAGGCCTGCTCGGATGACCTCGAAGTATCTGCTSAAAGCACTCAAGCCCTTTCCCTCTCACTGGTGCAGGGAGGAGCCACCTGGCCAGAGGCATTTTTAAAAAACAGATGAACATAAAATTGACAGAATCATATTATTCTCACCTCCAAAAGCYGGCCTCATAGTGAAATCATGGTCATCAACTCTGAGAAGCTGCTCCGTCTTTCCTTTCCAAGTTTTGGTCACGTCATGATTCTTCTTATAGATGTGGCTGCAAAAGACAGCAATAGGGTTGATCTGTGGTCTTTGCACTCCCAGCAGCACTCTGAGGCTTATCTCCTTCCCTGTTATTTCAGAGTCTCTGCTAAGGTTTACCGCACGAATGGTAGTTTTGTGAGAACTGTTGCCCATAATGGGGACTGGAAGAGCAGCTACCAAGCTCGACAAGTCCTGAGGCTGCTTCTCCAAGTGTTAGTGTAGACGAGGCTCTGCTCTCTCTGCCTCGGACATCACAGCTCTCTGGCCAAAAGTGCAGCTCCTCATGGAGGAGCCTGGATGCAGAGCAGATAGGGAGCATGTTGTTTCCTGCAAATACGATGACCCAGAAGAAGCAAAAATAGAACATGCAGATTCTGAACACCAAAATTACATCATCTTGCTGTACCTTTGCCTGGTACCATGCTGGTATCATAATGAAAAAGTTTGCTCTTTCCAGCGATAGCTGTACAATGTCATATGTAACTCTGAGAATATCTGCCCAGTACTCATGAGTATTGGCCAAATACCAGCTGTCTGTGTGGTGAAAGGGGCTGCATTTTGCCTTTTCATTTGAAACAACAGCAAAACTTCCCATTGCCCTCCGCGGCACTGGGAAAATATGCATTTATCCAAAGAAGTGAGCAAGACCTCCAATCCTTCACTTCACTGACCATGAAACAAAAAAAAAAAAAAAAAATTTTTAATTTATTTAAAGATCATGTATTATATCAGAGCATTAAAACATGCATGAGAACAAGGCTCTGAGAAAAGTGCAAGAAAGTCTCTAAAATGRCATAGGCAGATAACTAACCAGCAGACAGGCAGATACTGCACACACTTTCAGAAGAAAATCCGGATCAGCATCCCCTGCTACTTCCCAGTTGTGCAGGAAGGACAATGAGAATCAATAAGGGTCATTAAAGTGCAAGACACAAGGAGTGGAAGCAAAGGGAGCATAAATCACAGATAAGGGAAAATGTTTCCTGTCAGAAGATTCAACCTAAAAGAGYAGCAAGAAAAATAAGGGGTACCCAAATCTGGGCTGCAGATGTTCTCTCCGCCAGCTGCCTGTAAAGGAGAAGCAGGGAAAGGGCCCTGGAGCAAAGGAAGTTACAACCCAGGTTCCATTAACAGTTGCCTGGAAGTACAAAGCCATGGGACACACGCATGCACAGCAGCCAAGAGGGATGGCTTGGRAAGCAAGTTTGGCTCGTCAAGGAGAGCTGCGTGGAGCAGTGGGTTTATTTCCCCTTTGCAAGCTAGAGCTGGTGACACTGTTTCACTTGACAGCCCATAGAAGGGCCTCAGAAAAATGAGGGGCAGAAAAATGATCTTACTGAGTTTGCTCATCAGGGAAAGACCTGAAACCCGGTGAAATACTCTTCAGAGAAATCTCCATTTGGCATTCAGAGAAATCTCCTGGCATTCAGTGAAGCGCCCTGTCRCAGGCAGCACACAGGAGAGACGCTGAGAGCAATTCTGTGCCTTGCAAAACCAAAAAGGACCTCACAGCTTCCCATTCAAAGCCAGTGCGAGTTGTACCGTGTCAAAAGCAGCACAAGTAAACCAATTTATTTAACTGCAGCGGTGCAGCACTGTGACGATGCTTAGCTGTCCTGTATGAACAGCCTGCTTGGCAGAGGACACTGCAGAGACAAAAGATGCCGACAAATCTGGTCATGGGACATGGGCTGTTCACAGGCACCTCCTTTGGCCTCCACAGGGTGAGAAAGGCGCCTGTCCTGCATCAGTACTGAGTTTCCTCATTTCCACGGAAGGCAAACGGAGTGGCTGCTGCTTTAGCGGCAGCCGAGGAACCAGTGCTGCGCTGTGGCTGCAAAAATGCAAAGACAGCAGATRTTGTACAGCTAGAGGCTGCACAGCACCCCGGACTTAAACCCAAACAGTTCCGGCTAGGACCTCCAATTCCAAAAGCCATCACTGGAGCGTACAGAGGGAGGCAAAAATAGCTTTGCAAAAGATGCAAAAGATACCAACCTGACGCTTTCGCGCCTTGACAACAACAAAATAGAACAAACTAAAACAACAAACTGCTCCAAATCACTACCCGCCTCCAGGTATCTCAGCACAGGCTCCTCAGCTGGAGGAGTTCAGGGCAACTTCTGTTTCCAAAGCTCAGTGTTTCTCCCGGTTGACGCGCGAGGCTGCGCACAACCGCGCGGGAAGGTGGAGCGGCCGCCCCGGAGCTGGCTAAATCCCAYGGCAAGGGCCGCCGTGTGGTGAAGGAGACAGGCCAAGAGGGCTGGGAGCTTCCCAGGACCTTCCTCAGAGCACACCATACACACGGCCATAAACATCACCGGCAGCATTATCGGCACTTTTATAGGCAGCATTTTTCACGTTTCACCTGTTTCCATGCAGTTTTTGTGCAGATGGAGAGTCCAGGAGGACTGCTAGCTTTGGTCTGAGGTTCCTCATCTGCAGCCACCGCAGAGCGACTGCGGAGGACCCCAAACTGCCTCAAATCCATGGGGCTGGACRGACCAGCAGCGCTCGCCGGGCACTTGCTGTGAGGCTGGTGCCGCAAGGAAGCTGCAGTCAYGCTCCGCAGCTGGTGCTGCACACAGCAAACCTGACCCAGCCCATCGCCTTCCCCGGCACTTGCATCTTTACACACTTTGCAGTCCCCTGCAGCACCAAAGTCTCCTCATCCTTTCCAGAAATCTGTTCACAGTTACGATCCCGAGACATGGGGCCAACGTGCCCCACAACAGTCACGGCAGCGACTAGCAGCAGTTCCTCCTTGCAGTTCATTTGCCACTTGGCTTCTCAAAAACGGAGTGAAATGCAAAATTTCTAATCAGCAACTCTTTCTGAGTTAGGTAGGAGCCCTTATTTTCACTTCATGGTGGAGCTAAAGGCTGCCTTTGTGCAGCACTCACCAGGCACAAGAACGCACTCAACTTTACGCAGATAGGGACCACTAAATTCCTATGTGAACTTTTGTAAAGTAAATGACAGATTGAACCACTGGAAAACGTGAACATATGTATACATATACACACACGATGGCAAACATTATAGCTTGCTGGTTCTTTAAATCATGCTTCCTTTTGTGGAAATAGGTGCGTGTGAGTGAGGCTGTGGCCGCAGGAGCAAGGAAAGATAAAGATACAAAGCAGCCACCCATTAAGCAGGGATTAGCCATTTAACATACTGAACAAGGCACTATTCACACAGAAAAAAATAACATTTTAAAGTTCAGGTTTAACAAAAGAGTGTTAATTCAAGTTTCATGCAACTTAAGCTGGTATTTCTTTATTTGGGCTCCTAACTTCACAGTCTTGCTTTAACATATTCCTTTTCCCTTAAGGCTCAGGCCCAAGAACTGCACGCGAATGGACACCTGGTCCCTGGGCCTTGAAAGGCTCCAGACTGGCTCCTAGGGGCCCTCGGGTAAGAGCCCCTATGAAACCAACAGGCAATAAGTTAGACAAAGTTCTGTGCTTACACAAATGCTTTGACCTTTTTGAAAATAAACAACTTTAGACCAGGTTGCTGCATCGTCCTAAACAAGCTATCTAATTCAAATACTTCTCAAATGTAGATTTCCACTCATAGGAATGGATTTTCCTTGCTCATACATTTACCGTAAAATAAATTTACTATATTCATATGCTAAGTCAACAGGAGAAATGCTAAGCAGGAAGTGTGATAAAATTTTTAAAAGACACTTTGCTTTAATTTTTCTGTATACAACAAAAAAGCCAACACAGACACTGGTTTTTATTTGACCTTACTAGAACAGATCAGTCGTTGTTGGTTTAGAGATAAACATTTTTTCATATACAAAGATACAAACAAAAAATTAAAATACCAATACACTTTACTTGTAGTGTTATGGAAGTCTCTATAATTCACCTATCATTCATACTTGACATTCCCAAACACTTTTATATACTTTTAAATAAATGCATTCACTATGTAGGGAAAAAAAGGCAAACAAATATCATAAATTGTCTCTATTTTTGAAATTCATGCAGAGGGCTATGAATTAATTGCCTTATATTTCAGGTGTATGGTACTTCTGGTTTACCTACCTGGAGAGCTGTTTATTAAACTCATTATGTGTCATTTTTTAAATGACATTTAAATTGACTTGTATAAACAATTTTAGCAAAGTTTTAACTTCTCTATCACAACTCTGCAAAGCAACAGCACTGTAGTTGTATGTTACCTTACAATAACTAAATAAAGTAAAAAATACAAAAATATATTAAGATGGATAATAGCATTACTTTTAGGAAAAAAAAAACTGTTTAGAAGAAAGATGTTTACTGTTTGTCCCTTTAAAGCAGAGTACTTCTTCCGTGCATCAATTATTTGCAAAAAAAAAAAAAAAAGTGATACTCCTGAGTCCTTTACATGCAATAGAACAGAAAGATTTGAGAAAGTTTTTAGAATTACAGATTTCACTCAATACTGCAGCCTCCTAAAATCAGTAGCAAAACTTCACTTGGCTCTAATATTGCAGGATCAGGCCCTGGCTGCTTCAGCTTAATGTCACAACATTTCTTTGTAAAACAGGCAAGTAACAACACTCTCTCCGGATTAAAATAAGCGTTCGGAGTGCTATGCCAAACAAAACAAAACCAAACAAAACAAAACGAAGGTTTACAGACAGAGCGAAGCCGCTTAATAAGATGGATTAACCCATTTTTATTTTTCAGCTCTCTGAAAAACAACCTTTTAATATATAATTGTCACTGGATGACATAACCACGCAGGAAAGGATAACACACACTGGCAGGTTTCAAAGATTATCTTTTCTAAAGTAAACCTCCCAAATCTGTTACAGCAAATCTAATAAACTTCACTAGGACATTTAACTCGTTGTTGCACGTTTGCTCGATTTTATAAAATTGAAGTAAACGCACTACAGTTTCAAAACATAACTTCAAAATCCCCAGTAACTTCCTACGCCAATTCCTGTGTTATTAACACCATGCAYGCCAACCAGCCCTGCACCTCACACTGTTAGACTGTAATAGGGATTTTTAAATGAATATAAGTAACATGGATATTTCAGCTCCAGAGTAAACAGAATAATCTCTTGAAGYAGTTATTTGGTTTGATGGTGGGATGCCGTGGAGCTCTGACCATACTTGTTAAGTGTATGCAACTTCCTTGAGCTCTTAGTTACGCTATTCACGTGTACATCTAAGAACACTTTTTACCATGACCAAGCAGCCAAGTTCTCTGTCCAAAACTGCCCCTTTAAGACTCAAATTACAGTTAGATCTGAAAGCGGCACCAAAGAGTGCCTAAAATTACAGAAAACATCRTCTATAAAGCTGTTCTCATACAACTGTAATGAACTTTCTGTACACAAAGATGCTGACAGAGCAGATTTCCATGCCTGGAAAATGAAGCATTTCTACCCTTCACCACCCCTTACCTTGCCTTCTGCACCTCCAGCTGGCTCGTCCACCTCCTCCTCCTGTGCCTTCTGCTTTCCACAAGAAGAACCAAGTACAGGACGAACAGGAAGAGTTTCGCAAAACAAGGCATCGCGCAGGAAGCAGCAGCTAGCCCCTCTGCGCTCCCGTCACCTCCTGCCGCACCAGAGCCCCCCGGGTTAAACATGGAATCGGCTCCGGGGGCTGCCAGGGATCAGTGGTAGAGGCGCCGCTTTTCCCATTTAATATTTCCGACGGGCTTTCAAGGGCTGCTCACGCGGAGCTTTCCCCGCTCAGCGCTCCATGATTGGCCATTACCCACGGAGCTCGCCTCGCCAAACCTCTCCACGGGCTCCCGAAGGATCTGTGCTAAAGCCATTATATAAAGAGGGCCGCTCCGCRCGCCGGCTTTCTGCTCAATCCCCTGAGCCCAGGGCAGCGCGATCCTCCCGCCACGCTCTGCAGAACCAGCCTGTCCCCTTTCATTAGGCTGTCAGATTTGCCTGCTCATGACCACGGCATCCTTTTCGAGCAGAAAATGCCCTGTGCCATCACGTTTAAGATAAGGATATTTTACAGCGATATTTATTTTTGGTGGTCCTATGACAGCTGAGATTTTACTTCCCAGTTTAGTCAGTCTGCTTTTTTTTAATGCGGTTGAAGACAAAATATGAGCTMTTTGCTCTGAAAACAATTATTTTGTTCACTGTTCATTTTTAAAGGGAAATTAAAACACAGTAATCCTCTGAACACCTACACACGCCGCAGACACATCACACTGAGGCACAGTCGCCACWAACATCCACTTTTTGGGACAGTCTTTGCAACAGTCAGGCACGTGAGCTTTGATAACACTTTGAGGTAAGAATGAAAAGCTAAAAAAGCAGCTTTATAAAAACCCTGCAGCAAAGGGCTTGTTTGCAGGGTTCAGTTCATTCTCTGAGGCAGGAGCGCGAGGCGCAGAGCAGCCGGACTCGGAGCATCCCGGCGCACACGGAGCAGACGGATCCAGGTGGGAACAGGGGCCTGCGGGACCAGAGCCCGTGGGGCTCCCAGSCCCTGCTCTGGGCCCAGCTGCAGGGGCGGCTGCTCCCGCTTCCCACCCTCCAGGAAAGCAGCACTCCTGTTCCAGAGACTATGGGATCCGCAGGGGGATTTGTGCAAACAGTTCTAACAAAACACGCAAATCCGAACAACACACACCACTATTTACAGGGCACCAAACAGCTCTGCAGCAGAACATGCAGTTAACTGGTGACTTACCTGAACCAGCCACATACTGTGTGGCCAGAGTCACTTACGAAAAATATTCAGTTATTGATGGTTGTTCCACTGCACCTGCAAATGAAAAGACAATCCCCAACCACTAAAAATAAATATATGTATATTCTAAGTTTCTGAACATATCCACTGTTTACTTCAGGCACACCATGGGCTTCATTTGTTTTTAGGAGTTGTTATAGCTTCTTTAATGTTTCAAAGCAGAGTAATACATGCCATATTTAATAAAACTAGAGTTGTAGGTAGCTTAATAAATATTTGCTGAGAAGCAAGATAAGAACTGAGCCTGTCACTGCTGTCATATGTAACAGCAGCAAAATGAAAATTACCTGAACTCCATTATCTTTTAATTAAGATATTAAAGTACACTGAAATCAGAACAATAATGCAAGAGAAACATTATGCTGCTGATTACCTCCTTCTACTTCACTACTTAAAACTTCTTGAAGCCCTAACAACTTGAGATCTCTTGATGGAATATGATTTCACAACATTCACGAATAAGTCACCAGTTACTCATTTTTATAAGCTAGTAAGAAAGTCTGAGTCCATTATTGATTTTATATTTAAAAGAAACCACTTAAAGCAAACAAAAACACATGTGATACCAGAAGCATAACCAGAGACTGGCTTGAAATAGTTTATTACTGCCAAAGCTTTAATAAATACTTCTCTTAAGCATGTTCATATACAGAGAGTTTACGTATGATACGGTTTCACTTTCCTTTAGTAAATAARCCCAAATTTCAGTTTAATGCACTATGTATATTTATAATTAAAAGACAATAGCTCTGGGTAAATAATTATATTACATATTTATAACTATTGCAAGAATAAAGATGTTTCATATAATCTTCAAATTAAAAAAAAAGCAAGATATACAATTGACAGTATCAGAAGAGGACAATGAAATCTGGCAAAAGGTTATCTAATCTTACTTCCAAAGTCAAAACCAAAATAATTAGTTTTCTGGCCCCTTCTTTGCTCCCCTTTCCCTTTTCCCCTTTCATACACAGAAGACAAATTCTTAACCAACCTGTATATGCATTTCCCCCCACCCYGCCCCTGGAAATGTGTCACGGTAAATAAAAGTGGTTACAAAACATTTATTTCCTGTACATTAGGAGCTCATTGAACACAAACACATAATGATGTTTTCTTTTAAAAYCCTTTCTCCAGCGTTATCTTATACTAACAAAGATAGGGTCATTATTTGCATTTGTGTTCCTTAAAAAAATGCATCAACCACTTTCTTTAAATTGTCGTTTTCTAGTTAATAAATTACATGCAAATCGAGTCCCCTCATATGCCTAAACCTTACCATTCCCCTGTATGGTTTCTCCAACTATCTAGAGGGCACTCGATTAACACTTGTTATAATCAGATGTCCAATTTTTCTTTTTAAATATGAACAGTAATGAACCTGTTAGGTGCATTAACATTCACAAGGACTCAAGTGTAAATACAAATAGTAATCTTTGTAAACAGTTCCCATATCCAAAACCTTGTTCAGCAAAGCATTCAAGTCGCAGCTCTCGAGACGGAAAAGAGCCCTTAAAACTCAAATTTATACTCGTTAGCCAAATATATTCTTCGAAATATAAGAGCCGTCAACGCAAGGGTCAGGAGGACGATGAGGACAGTGGATCCCGTGTGGTTCATGTCGACCCGCGGCTGCTGGACSCGATGGAAGTCGGTGGAAGACGGGGCCCTCCTCCGGCTCTGCTGCTGGGCTCGGCGCTGCCGGGGGCTCAGCGAGGCGGCGGCGGGAGCGGGGTCCTGGCTGCTCCTCGCGCCGCTGCTCGGAGCTTCGCGCTGCAGAAACACGACGAGACGCTTTGTGAAGCGAGGCCGGGCGCGGGGCGAGCAACGCGCACCCTGCGCAAACCACGAGCRCCCAAACGTGCTCCTCAGGCAGCCTCTATTGAGAGTCTAAGGGTAAATATCTCCCCAATAGCCACGAGATTCTCTTTTTAGTCACCGTTCTTGCCCTTATACTATCTTTTAAATAATCTACTTAAACTCATAACTTAGCAGTTCCAAGGACAAGAAAAATATTCTGAGGGGAAACATCGATGAAAGTTTGTTAAACAATGTTTGAATTCTAAGTCAGTGCAAATACTCTGTTTGAAACCCTCTTTGCCTAGGATTTGCTCAACTCCTTGCAGTTCAATAAAAGCTTCACTAACCCTTCAGACAGTTACACGCCCAAGGATTTGAAGCATCACCTGTATCAAAGGGAAAATAAGAAGGAATGACAGAGCAAGAAAGGAAAGAGGGACTGTGTCCAAAGAGTTTTAATTTGGTAATGTTCCACTGCTACCTGTGGCTAGCTGGGTCCAAATTTCTGTTCTGATTACCATGAGACACTAAAAAACAGTGGAAAACAGTGAACAACACTGGGGGGGTGGGGAAAGCACCCTAAGCACTCCCAAATAATCCAAATAATTCCAAATGAATTATTGAGGATGGGACCTACCCAGGCACATGCTTGTTGCCCCCTACTGGTCAAAACTTGGTCTACCATTATGTGTAGTAAATATATATATATATACACACACACACACACACACATATATATATATATGTTGGCAACTGGTATGTTGGCAACTGAGCTACTAAGAAGTGTTGCTTCTTTAAAGCTTTCTCTTTTCAGAGCAGAAAGACCCTGTTGTGAATGAGACAAGGTGCTACACACGGTCTGAGCTGAGCTGTAACTGCACACATACCTTGCTGGCAATTGCAGTGCTATAAATCAGCTTTAGGGGGAAAAGATACAGATGGATCAGTGCAGCAGAGGACAGGCAGCTCCATCCAAAGCTGAACTAATCCACCCCTTGGGACTCTCTACATGTCAAAGTCCACCAAATATTAAGAGGACATGTAGGAGCAGGCTGGATCAGAAAAGGAGGTTATCATTCCAGATACAAAACTTGGGATTAGGTGCTAGTGTGCATTCAATAATTTATACATGCTTGCATATTACACACCTTTTGCTTTAAAATTTAATTAACTTAGGGGTAGAGTATGCTGAAAAGAGGCTTAAATAAGATCAAAACATGGTGACCTCCTTTATCCTTTCATCTTTACACTCTGTGACTCTTCACTGCCTGTGTCACGTTATTTGTGAAGCTTTTGATATTTGCTCACAGCAGCAGCAGCAAAGCTTTGCTCCAAGGACAGCCAAGCTGGGCAAGTAGGGCTACTTGGGTAAAACAGACATASGAGAGACTTGCTGAAGGTTTCTGACAAGTAACAAAAGGCAAGGAAGGAAATCTATAGAATGTTCCAGCTACTGAAGAACAAATAATGCAGTGTAAGTGCTATTGAATATCCAGATCATTAGTTTAAGTTTTATCAGAATGCTGGAAATACAAAACATATTTGAAGAGGATTATAATCAAAATTAGAAAACTCTAGACTAAACTCAGGGCTGTATAAATCCTCTGGGTTACTGAAGCCTCTGTGTTTTTCAGTTATACTCTGCATCTCAGAAAGATACCGAGATGGGAAGATACAAAGACGGGCTACATATCAGCTTATCGCTTAACTCTCAAATGAGGAGCAACTAGAGCKTGACATGGTACTACTAATGCTAATTTCAGAAAAGCTAATAGGAAAAATGATTATTTTTAATGAATCAATGGCAGCGCTAGGCAAGTACCTCTAAGTACCAACATTCACTTAAAGTTATTGTCCTAAATCCATATCTTTCCTGTATCTCAAACCACATCTTTATCCATAAAGAAGTGGTCTGTAGAAAGGGTTTTCTCCCCCCTCCRAAGAGTCTCACCTCTTCACCTACAATAAAAACCTCTCTTTAGCATCTATTTATCATCACGTTTTCAATGAAGACCGGTTACAATTCATCCAAAGGGGAGGAGAGAGGCAGCTCTCCTCTACGGAGGCAGCACTCCGTCACTGCTTTGCACCTCTGCTGCTCTCATCAGCCGCGTGGCAGGACAGGAAAGTCCTATGACTTGAGGGTTAGTGACAAGAGGGTGACATTCTGATCCCTTAAAACATTAATCCACTTTTCACAGTCAAGGTCTATCATATATAAAAATGTTTACAGAATTTATATAATGATTAGAGCTTTCATTTTACTTGGGCCCACTCTTCTAAAAATCCAATTAACCATCACTTATAAAATCAGTATAAAGACTCCCTTTTCTCACAATAAAAAGCTACCAGTGCTTGGTACTTTGGTCAGCTCTACTATATTAGCTAGGATTTGTAATGAGAAGAATAGAATAAAATAAAAGGGTTTATTAAATCCTTAAAAAAAATCAGGAAAAATCCTCATTGTGAAAAAAAGTATAATATTAGCGTATTTCTACATAGCACGAAAATATGTTGCAAACATGCAACAGATGGTCTGACGTTATTTGACGTGTTTTAGGTTTTTTAACCAATCTGCAGCCCCATCCTCTCTAAAACACACAGCTTATCTGGGATTTGTCTGCAATTTATCAGTGAATTTAGATTGCATTTGCAGTCGCAACAGCAGCTGCCTTGGCCCAGGACCAGGCCCCGCTCACTTCCGAAATGCTTATGTAAGCCCTATACCTAGCAGAATTAAAATGCAAGCGTCACGTCATTTCCTTCAAGTGCTAACAGTATTCTAGGCAAATTTATTTAAGAGGTTATGCAAACAGGAAAATATCCTTTATCAGTATTTAAGCACAACAAATTAGCACTGATGCATTTTTTTTGCTTGYGGTTAATAACTCTATTGCAAGAATCTGTGATACACCGCACAGATAGCAAGTTGCATCCAAATATTTTTATAAATTTGTAACCAATATATTAAAGCAATTACTGGGAATAGGACTTACYACAAGAATGTTGTTTGAGGCCTGTTATTAAGGGACAGAAGCCTCTTCACAGAAAGTGAGGAGATGACTTTCTAAAACACATGCCATTTGCCAAAGTTGGCACAAGAAGATTCTCGTATAAAATTACGCACAAATATTCCAAGAAATGTATGGAGTGCATACTGTCAATGCAGCTTCCCATCAGCTTAACAGTGCACACTTCCCATTTTGCCTTGGACAACACTGGGACACAAACCGTACCGCTGCGCCGGAGGCATCCGGGGCTGCTCCGGCTGCGCCGTCCTGCCGGYGCTCCGGCTGCGCGGCCGGGAGCGTCGATCCCGCTGTGCTCGCGGCRCCGGCATCAGGCTTGCGGGAGGAGCTCACTTCTGCCTGCAGGAGGGACACACGAGCGAGAGGTCAGGGCTCAGGAGAGAAGCTCTCCAGGAAGAATAGGGATAGAGATAGACAAGCAACCCTTCAAAAGTGCCAGATCGGATTTGCATCTTTTATCTTTTTAGTTCCGTTTGTTTGCTTATAATCATAGGTTTAACAGCCCAAATACACTGGATGGGGGGGGGGGAAGGAAAATAAAATCCAGGAAAAAACGATGCCAGAGGTAGCATCATTTTTAGACTTGTGTTTCTTCAGGATCCTTAAGGAAGGACTAGACCACTGACTCCTCCTCAGCAGTTTCTCCACCGGGCCTCAGGGAAACGCTCAGGTGTTCCTGGGGACGGACCAGCYCGAGCGCCCAGGCTGCCTCCCCGCACGGCGAGCGTGGGAGCTGGGCACTGCCCTGTGCCCAGGRGGCCTATCTCACCTGCCAGCGTTCACCTCTCAGCACAAACAGGGCAAAAGGGAAGGAAAAAAACCAAAAAACACACCTACACTTTGTTATATGTCTGAATAAAATGTCTAGCAGGCACCACTGCCCAAGAGAAACTAATTTATTTTAATAACCTTTAGGCTAGCAACAACGCCTCACAAATAGAAGAGGACACAGCGTAGCAGTCCTGAACTGAAACACATTACACATATCAAAAAAACACACTATAACCACCACAAGACCACATTAATTTTAATCAGCAAGTGATGTGTCTCTCTCCCCCCGAGCAGCTTGCCGCATCGTGTCTCCCGATCCATCGCATCCCGATCCCAGCTTGGGGCAGCGATGACCTCTCCAAACCTCACACTAGGTAAACACTGCCCTTGAATGTAGGCAGAAATAGTGTTAGTAAGAAATACAAACACCATACTAGAAACCACTACAGAAATAACAAGCTGGTAAGATCAGGAGATAGTAATTCAACATTCTTCTGCACTGGTATTTGACATGCAGGAATAAATCCTACTTCTCAACACATAGCATTTCAGGAAACCTTATCTGTCATTGAAATTATCTCAAAATTAATTTGTCAAAGATATTTAAAATAATCTGACAATGTGACAAGCAATCTGCCTGCTTTCATACTCAACCACTCCTAACTAAGAAACTAAATGTAAGAAACAYAGACTAATTCAGACCAGGATTCCAAACATTTACTCCAAAGCCCCCCAAATTGAAGCATCTTTCTCACCACTCAGTCTCTCTTTTTTTCCAGCCCTCACCTTTGCACCCAGAAAAGCYAGACAAAAAAGACTCCAAAGACAGACTATCAATATATTTAATGTGATAACCAGGATGGGTGGAGGATTAATTCTACTGTGCAGGGAAATATGCTTCAGGATATGAAGCATGAAATGGYTGCAGGCAGAAGCATCATTTTATTTTACACTGATGCACATGCTGTTAGTTAYATATCTTTTCTTGGAAGAAATGGAATATAATTTATGGTGTATATAGCACCTAATATCCATAGATTAATTTCTGCATCAATATAATTCGATAGGAAAATTTGATTTTTTCATTAAAATACACAGGGTATCAAAGGTGAAAGCACACAAATAGGAAAAAAAAACACAATTTGGAAACTTTTCTGAATTTCATGTTCCTTTCTCAATAACAAACACAGGCAGTTATTAAAAAGCTATCATTTTGCTTAAAGGTGGCCGACAATAATTTCTTAAAATGACAAGATCATCTAGAAGAAGTTAAAGGAGCCTCTTACATGGAAATCAAGATAACAGAGTTTGCTAATAGATTTTCTAATAGAAAAGTAGAAAATTTTCCTGAATTATAGACTCACTTGGAAAACTGTTGTTAATTCCTGCCTCACAGGTGGACAGAGAATATCCACATGACTAACAACTAGRTAGACTTTGGTACTTCCTGTCAGGAATTCCTACTGCTATTTTGGTGCAGACACACACAACTGTGTGCTTTGGCCCAACACCAGATAAACCACAAAAAAATCCTAGCAAAGCAAAATGTAGAAAGCTTAAGAAATATGATCAGTGAAACCTGATTTGAGAATGAAAGGGAAGGAGCAAACAGAGGACTGATGAAGCAGTTTTAAAGGTTGTAAAAATCTGAGGTTCTGTTCATTTTCCTCTTGCTGAGTGTGCTTGCTCTGAAGAGGTGGTATTAAACAGATACCTCGAATGCACTGATTTTCATTTCAAAACAGAAAAAGGTATGCAATTAAAAGTTCTTCTAAGAAGTTTCTTCTTCTTTTTAACTTCTTTTAAACTTTAACTTTCTTTTTAAAAGTTTCTTCTAAAAAAAAATCCTATTTCTGGCATCTCCGTGATATAAGAGTTCTCAAGCAAAAAAAAAAAAAAAAAATTAAATAATTCTATGCATTTTAACCATTACTTGCTGTAAAAGTAAACAAACAAAAAACCACCAAAAAGCAGTCAGTCCAAAGCACCCTCTGGGTAGCTCAGCTTTCAAATTCTGTGCCTGTATTTCTTCGCTTTTGTAATATGTTTTGGGATCTTTTTGATAAATATTTTGCAAACAAGCCCAGTGTTATCAGCAACCAAATGCACGGATGCTGTGGAACTGGCGGAGCTGCTCAGCACGGAGCACACAGCTTCACTGCCATGGCACACACAAGCAGCCCTCGGGACAGCATTAGGGGAACATTACTTAATGTGTGAAATTGTTTTATTCATTCCATAAACCACAAGGAAAAAAAAAAAGTCACAAAGGAAAAAATTGGATAGCTTTGCCCAAGCTTTCCTCAAAGATTTACGATCATACCAAGTCTGGAGAATTTCACCTAGGTATTGTTGAATGAAAACAAGAAGGTAAAAGCAACACTGCAATTTACAAATCTTTCAATTTCTGTCCAAGAAACAGAGAGAGAAAAAAAAAAATTCAGTTACTTCACCTTGAAGCTAATTTGTCTGGCAAGTTCTTTGGCCTCTTTGTCTGCCTGGCTTGACACACTTCCTGAGGTGAGTGGTAAGAGCGCCGTCTTCATAGACGTGCCACAGATTTCACAACAGAAGTCCTGTGACCTGGCCACAAACGACACAGCTCAGAATGGCATGTTCCTGCTCGACTCCCACATGCTTGTTGAAGCAAACTATTAGCAGGACAACCCACAGAAAGACACATGGTKTCAAAACCAGGAGCTTATAAGGACATCCTCTCATCTCCAACCAGCAAAAAAAGATCAAGAAGGATCTACGCTACAAACACGCTGTCTCATGTCATTTAGGAAAATATTAATGACATTTAATGACATTTAATATTTATTAATAATTAATATTTATTTAATATTTAATATTAATGACATTTAATGGCTGTGCTGCCATCCAGAGGGACCTGGACAGGCTGGTGAGTTGGGCAGAGAGGAACCTCATGAGGTTCAATAAGGAYAAGTGCAGGGTCCTGCACCTGGGGAGGAATAACCCCAGGCACCAGTAHAGATTAGGGGTCGACTTGCTTCAAAGCAGCTCCAYGGAGAGGGACCTGGGAGTCCTGGTGGACACCAAGTTAACCATGAGTCAGCAGTGTGCCCTCGTGGCCAAGAAGGCCAATGGGATCCTGGCCTGCATCAGGAGGAGTGTTGCCAGCAGGTCAAGGGAGGTGATTCTGCCCCTCTMCTCAGCTCTGGTGAGGCCGCACCTGGAGTAYTGKGKGCAGTTCTGGGCTCCCCAGGACAAGAGGGACGTGGAGCTTCTSRAGAGGGTCCAGAGAAGARCAACTAAGGGAAYAGAASATCTCTYGTACGAGGAGAGGCTGAGTGAGCTGGGCCTGTTTTCTCTGGAGAAGAGACGGCTCAGAGGGGATMTGATTAATATGTATAAGYTCAGGAAGGGAGAATGCAGGGAGGAAGGGGACAGGCTGTTYTCAYTGGTGGCCAGCGAYAGGACGAGGGGTAATGGCCACAAGCTGGAGCACAGGAAGTTCCGTCTCCAGGTGAGGAGSAACTTCTTTACTGTKAGGGTGACAGAGCAGTGGAACAGGCTGCCCAGGGAGGTTGTGGAGTCTCCTTCTCTGGAGGTCTTCAAAACCCGCCTGGATGCCGCCCTGTGCCACATGCTCTRGGTGTGCCTGCTTGAGCAGGAAGGTTGGACTAGATGATCTCTAGAGGTCCCTTCCAACCTTRAATATTCTGTGATTCTGTGATTTACATATTATTGATATCACCCATCACTATACTGATTTGTTAGCATTTAAAATTTGTTACTTTACATTTGTAGTATATTAAGTAAATTATACAGAGTTAACTCTGTTATGAGTATAAAATTGGACTTAGCAGATTGCGCTTTGTAAATCCAAGAGTYTGTGAGTCAGAGCATCACTTCACTCCCTTACACACAACAGTTTACCGCTGCAGGCAGCTCTCCAAGCCAAGCAGAAACCAGAGAGCTTTGGCAATGCATACCAAGACAAACCCAGTAAATTCTACCTCTCAGCAGATCTTATTAGCTTTGACTCAGTGCCATGCTAATATGAAAGCTAGAGCTTCTGATTAGCTCAGAGTACAGGTCAAACTAGCTCATATCTGCCTTCAAAAGATGACATCTGTTACAATTTAGACACAGTAATTTTCAAGATAGGGATATGATCCTTCACGTATCTTCTCACCAATGAGGGGATAGATGGAATGGAAAAAAATGGCCTAAACTTTCATGTAGGGATAACCACAGAACCACAGAAGAGTTCAGGTTGGAAGTGACCTCTACAGATCATCTAGCATAACTCCTTCTTCAAAGCAGGGTCAAGCAAATCAGTTGCTCAGATCAGGTACTCTTCACAGTTTGTGWAGACTACAGGAAAAGCMTTGCCAGCAGGTGGAGGGATCCTTCTCTTCTCTACTCAGCTCTCCTTCCCAACACTACTCATCTGGAGCACTGGGTCCAGTTCGGGGTTCCCCAGTATGAGAGAGAGATGGAGATCCTGGAATGAGTCCAGTGAAGGGCTACTAAGATGATTAAGGGACCAGAACATCATCTCCCATGAGAAAGAGCTGAAAGCACTGGGACTGCTCAGCCTGGAGAAGGGTTATGGGGAAGGTTATCAATGTGTGTGAGTAATCAAAGGGAAGATGAAGAGGATGGGGCCASGCTCTTGCCCATGATGCTCAATGACAGGACAACAGGCAATGGACAAAATGAAACAGAGAAAGTTCCATCTGCACATGTGAAAACTCTCTTTTTTTTTTTTTTTTAGGGGGAAAAACAACTGTGAACATTGCAAAACACTGCAACAGGTTGCCCAGAGAGGTTGTAGAGTCTCCTTTCTTGGAGATACAGAGTCATATGGACAAAATTCTAGACAACCCCTGCTTGACCAAGGGGTTGGACTAAATGATCTCCAGAGATCCATTCCAACCTCAACTCTTCTGTGCTATTTATATATGCACATACCAGCACTAAGAAATACAATATATGCTAAAAAGTAAGATCCAAGGTTGTCACATACACCAGCAAACTTAACACTCACTTCTTTGCAAGTGCTCTTCTTTCTTCTGGTGTGTAGTCTAGAGATCCTATGGCTCCTTCACCTTTGGTTGGCATGAATCCGATAATGGCTAGTAAAGCTGTTCTTACTAGAATTGGAAAAACAGACACAAACTAGGCTGCAGAAACCAGCTGCTATTTCATCTGATTCTATATGCAATGTAAAAAACACAAACAGCTGGACTTGATGATCTTGAAGGTCTTTTCCACTCATATTGATTCTATGATTCTACTTCTTCTATGACTTCTTTCTACTCATTTCTTGAAAATAGGTGTCAGTAACTATAGCGTTTCTTAGAGTTTAGGGAGACAYGAGAGAAATTTTGCTAAACATCATTGCACTTCTCAAGAAAAATATGAGTGAAGGAGTATTGTGAATTTCTTCATTTTCATTTTAAGAATCTTCTGCTTTGTGGGGATAATATTTTTGGAGGAATTGTTACTTACTACTCCATGAAGGCTGCCATGTTTCAGGATGATGCCCTGAGATGCTTAAACAAATTTTCTTCCCCACTTCAAACCTGCCATTGGCCTTTAAAAGAGAGATATAACAAAAAGTCTTTGAAATTAACCCTTGCTTTTTGACAGAAGGTTAAAAAGATAAAATAAAAGCAATATGTAAACAGCATTTGATAATTACATTTTAATTAAATTCTCTGACTGATGTTCATCCAGGTGGCATCACTGTTGCTCCTGTAATCCACAAACCACACACAGGGAGCCTGTAGCTCAATGAAACTATGTAGAAATATGGACCTTTCCCCTACGACACAGGTCCATCTACTTATATGGACCAAATATGGAGCCAACAACAGACCAAAACAGACACTGAAGAGGCCCATGGAGGGACGAGAAAGATCAGAGCACTGAGGAGTGGTTACTCCTTGGCAAAGTTTCCATGTGTAGGGGCAAAGCTTTATAAAACTGCAGAGTACCAAAGTAACCTTGGAGAACTCCTCATATTAAATTAGCAGCATTAACTGTATTTATGCCACTCTTTTTACAAAAATAATGATACGTTAAGTGCCAGGAATCTCTGTCTCAAATATCTAAAGCTAAACCAACCATATGGAAAAAGCCTAAYGGGTAAATCTGCTTACCGTCAGCAGAATAATACTTGGTGGCTTCATGGGATACTCAGGTGGCAGCACTATTCTGCCGTGGTAGGTTCCTCCGTCRAAATCCGAATCTGGAGGGCCTCTCACAGTAAAGTGCCATTCGAAAAGGTTATCCTAAAATCCCCCCAAAAGAGAAGAGGGTGTCAAAGAAACAGACAATATCAACACTAATCAACACATTCTTGGAACAAGGACAGGCTACAGAATCTAACAAAAAGGTTTTTAAAAGAAAGAAAGAAAAATAAAACAGAAGACAGGACAGTTAACACTCTGCTCAGGTTCTCACTGCAAGGTGCAAGTAACGCATCATTGGTAATTTTCTTACAAAAGCTTTGTTGGAACATTCAAATTTAYCACTCAAATTTTTTACAGGAGTTGTACCATTACAGTAAGAACTTTATTACCTGAAAGATAGAAAACTAAAGGGTCAACTAAGGGACATTTGGGTCTTAGTCCCAGTGAATAAGAATTTCTAGGGAATTGGGAACAGACCCACCCCAACCGAGAACACAAACAACAGCCCCCCTCCCTTTCCAAGCCCCTTCTATACCCAATCCAACRCAGGGCTTTGATGGTGACCCCAGAGAGTTCCCATTCTCTGTTGTTTCTCCATGAAGAATTTTGAAAATTGCCAACTTGCCTAATTACACAGTAGGCACAGTCTGAAATTTTCACTGGATGTGTAACTGGCTTCTCGAGTGTGATTTCTTTAGGTGTCTGCACTTGGCTTTTTGTGTGAGACCTCCTGACACCAGCAGTCAAGCACCTGCTGCTACCACAGGAGCCACGAGGCCCGTGTTGCCACTGACCGACACCTTGGGACTCAAGCTCAGTGTTGGTACTGCAGCCTGTGACACCCATTTAGGGACATTTTTTTTGAGGACAGAAGGAAACCATCAACATTTCCAGCCTGTCTCTACATCTCTGTCTCACTGCTCCTTTCCCAGTGAGTCACTGCTCTCATGCTGAGATGTTGCAAACTATTATCAACAGGCAGCATGAGTTAAGGGTTACACTTCATCCCAGGAAGAGGTGGGTGGGAAGAAAACAAGACAGAGACAAGCTCAACAACAAAGTACACTTCATCACACCTAGAAACATGCAACTAGCTTTAAATATGTTGCATGCTATGCATTTCTGTGAGAAGTTAAATCAGATCCCGAAAGTGAATACCACAAGCCATTATCTTTTTAATATTCCAGCAGAATCAGAATATATTTCACTTTTAACTTCTATAATTTCACTACTCTCAGCCCAGAACCTTAACTGACTATTCAGCAGATTTCAAGAAGTRCCTATCTGTGGTGGAAACCAAGTGCTGTTTCTCACAAACCAATGCATCCAGGCCAGACCTGCACTCACTTAGGCCTTTCATGCATATTTTCTTTTTTTTCTTTTTCCCCCCACACAAAATGAGGATCCCACGTAGATCACTGAGTTAATTTTAAAGAGTTTTGTTGAGCAGCTTAGTAACTGAACCAGATATCAGTTTGGGCCATATAAAACCCAGCTTAAAACAGATTGTTTATGTAGTTTCAGAGTCTCAGGTGGGGTGAGCACAAACACATTACACCCACGTGACCAAACTACTCAGGTATGACGTAAAACCACTGTTATTATTATTATTATTATTATGTACTTCCATTGGGAACCCGGTTCCATGACAGCTTTTCATGTGCAATTCTGCCATTGATTTTCAGCATAGGAAAAAATACCAAAAGAAGGGAATCAATTTAAAGAAGATATAATAGAATGCAAATATATAAATAAGATATATAAGATATATATTTATAATTATTTATATATTTATTATAAGATAATATGCACACAGTGTATTGTGCAGGCTAACGATACATCACCACGAACATATAGAGAAACAAACCTCCAAAGGTTGTGCATGGTAGTGATCTGTAGGATCCTTCAGTTCTGCAGCTTCCTTCATTAAACGTTTGACAGCTGAAAAACAGAAAAATTGGGACAGGAAAATAAAGGAATAAATTAACTCACACTGCATATAAAATAGTAAGCAYTTCTTGAAGGGCTCCTTCCAGCTAATTTCTTCAGCGCATCACTTCTTCATGAGTTAATAACCCTAGACACAAGGTAAATGGCTCACATTGAGTAAATGAGTCACACAATGACAAAGGTATGGAAAACATGTTCCATGGTTACAAGATTTCTGGAAAGAATGACTGAGCATTGGAATTTAAATGATGTTATTAACAGAATTGCTGTGTAAGAGGTGCACAAGGAAAGTGAAAACACTGAAGCTGCCTCCCTAAGATGTTCTAAGGAACAGGCTGACTTATTCCACCTTCTACATTCAAATTAAAACCAAAATACCTGTGAAAGTCCCATTCACATAACTGTACAACTACAAAGAAGGAGAAACACTGTGCAAATTCCCTTACACAACAGCTTAATGGTGACCCTGAAAGTCAAAACACTGCTTACAAAGGCTGGCATTACCAACTGACCATCACTTATTTTTAACACAGCATGAGATGTTTTGTAAAGTTGTACAGCTGCCATCATGACAGAATAATCACATTTTCACATTAAAAAAAAAAACAGCTTAAAATAATAAAAATTTCCTTAAAATTAAACATTGAGGAAGTGAAAATTTCTGGGCTAACTCTACCCAGCAAAGAAGAATCCCACAGTCTGGCMGAACAGGACAAGGAGGAGAAGAGCTCTGTGCACTTCTGGGGAAGAAAGGAAAGAAAAGGCTCTGGGGATGAAAAGCTCTGCTTGACAAATTGTCTTTTCTTTACCTAGAAYTTAAAGGATTTTGGAAAAGCAAACATGCATGTTAGAATACAAAAGACCCACCTCAAATTTGAAGATACCAACGCAGTTTGTTCCATCCAGAAACGCACCCAGGCGTCGGGCACCTGCTCATTAGCTACGTCAGTTCTCACCAAGAACAATGTGGTTCCTGGTTTTATCKGTTTCCTTGTTATTATGTCTAGGTTAAGCTATCCTGCAATTCCTACTCGATACATTTCCTTCTCCTGGGCCCACCTAGAAGTCACGTTCAAACCATTCTGCTACTGCACAGTCCATTAGCACAGTCCACACAACACTGACAAGGAAAATAGTCTATATATGGAAAATGGAAGCGGGCAATCTTCATAAACATAAATTTTACTCCTTAAAAGGGTGAGAGGATTTGAACATCGGTGGTGGTGATCTTACTGTAAACTACACTCCATAATATTCTCTGTCTTTAAAAAGCCTGTTATTGAGAAAATGAGAATAAAGCTTTTGAAAAGAAAAAAAAAAAAAAAAAGCTTTTTTTTATCTCTTTTTTAGCCTCGTAGAAGTTTGTTGGATGAGTCTAAAGAGACTGTAGCTCAACTGTATCTGTAAACTGCACACATGGCAATGGAATGAGCTGATGAGGGTTCCTGGATGACACTAATGCAAACGAACCACACAACAGGATTTGTTCCAGYGTAACAGGGTGGCTCCAGGTGCCTTTGGAAAGTGGGAATCCTGATCCCCGGGTTCCTGACAGTCTGCTACGGTGCCTGCAAGAACCCGCCTGCAGCCAGGCACAAGAACTGAGCACTAAAGCAGACCTGGGAGGGGAGGGAAAGGCCGAGCGGGGCTGGCAATGGGGTCAAGCTGAAGTGCAAGGCACGGGGATGGTCAGGGCTCAGGTCGGCCGGGCTTAACCCCCGCACGAGGCAGGAAATCCCTGTGTGCGGGAAAGGCGACCGCGGGATTCCAGCGGGAGCCTCCTCGGCGCAGCCGCTTGCTCAGGGCGCAGCAACCACCTCCCTCTGCCAGCTCTCAGCTCTTCCCTTCAAAAAGAAGATAATAAAGAATAGCAAATAAAGGATTTCAAAATAGTTAACACAAACCCAAAGATCTTTAGATCTTTGAAGTTAAGTGATCTAGAAAAGAATAAAACAAACGGACACCTGCTAGCACTGCAACAAATGCTTGCCTTTTTTTCCCTGCTTAGACGAAATATAGAAAAGTAGTCATTTTCCTCATTTTCTCTCTGTTGACTACAATAGCATAGCTAAAGATCCAGTTTACTTATTAAATCTGTCCAGGTCTTCCAATTAAATTCGATTRATAGATTAATTAATAATTAGATAGCCTTTATATATGAACACCTCCCAACCCAGAGGATTAACTACTTAGCCCACTTAACATATCAATAAAATACAGGTCCATCTTCATTACCTGCTTGCCTATCAATGACAGTATCCATAAGCAGAAAAAATAAAAAGATACCATCTGTCACTGATACAGTACAGTAAATCTCAGATAAGAGTCAAGACTCTCAAATTAAGGTATACTCAGTGTCGTGGCTGACATTTTGGGAAAGTCCTTTTCAGGTCAGCTGTGACCGAGGAGGTTTTTGTGGTGTGGTTTATTTTCCCTCTCCACCCACTCCCTGCTGCGGAGCCAGTGGTGCCTGGCGGCCCAGCCAGTGCAGCCCCCAAGGGACTTGGGAGCCCGGAGCAAACAGCACAGAGGCACCRGCACCCACCTCCCGACGCTCCTCTGAGCCCACCTGCTCAGTCACTTGGCATCTGCGTTCCAAGAGAGAGCGCGTWATTAAAGGCAGGGAAAATTCATAGGAAAGTCAGACCATCTTTTAATTGTACAAAGACTGAATCACACTAAAACAAAACAAACAAAAAAAAWCAGGATCACAGAACCACTAAGATTGGAAGGGACCTCYAGAGATCATCCAGTCCAACCCCCTGCTCCAGCTGGGACACCCAGAGCACGGGGCACAGGGCGGCATCCAGGCGGGTTGGGAAGATCCCCAGAGRAGGAGACTCCACAGCCTCCCTGGGCAGCCYGKGCCAGGATTAAATCTGTGTTTAAAATACACAGGATTGCTCATAAGACAACAACACTCAACGAGCTTCAATAGCTTCAATATCTAAAAATAAAACTAAGTGATGAGGTCACTGGACAAGCAAGAAAAAAATAATTACAGCAAAGAGTCTTAACAGACTGGACATTTATGTACTATTTCTACTACAGCTCTTTGATGCGGAGACCTGCCCCTCGCACCTAGGTGCTGTACCCCGCCGAGAAGGCTTTATTAGAGCTAAGCACAGGGAGGCACTGCGGGTTTGCAGTGACCGGCCCGTGTCCCTCGGTGTGCGTCACCTGCTCCGCCACAGGCGGGACTGCCCAGGCGAGCCTCAACCCGGGAACGATACGTCAGCATTAGCGACTGCTGCAGGGGAGAGGACAGGACTGTGAAACGTTACAACCCTTTTGCATTACAACCTAAATTTTTCAGGCAGCTAAGATTTGCATAGCAGTTTATAGCCACTACTTAATTTTGAGTGATTATGTTTAAATTCAGAGATGACATTTAAAGTTGCATTAGGACTGACTGGTCACAATTTTCTTTTCACAAAAGTCCTGTCCCAACCACATCCACCTAAAACAAAACTCCTGCAAGAGAGATGAAAAATTTAGCTAATCCTTAAACTACTAAGARGATACATTAGATACTCTGTTTTTGTGTTCCTCTCCTAAGCAACCCCTATGCTTCTGCCCCTGCCAGGATATTGCACTGCACAGATCTTTGCTCGGAAAAGCTCAGCAAGAGAAGCAAAACGAACGTACTGAAATCAGACCAAAGTCCATTTATACTCAAGGATTTCCAAATTTTTAGTGTTCTGAAACTAGAAGCCGGCAGGGAAAGCCACGAGTCAATTCCTCACGCGTGTCCCTGCTCCGGGGGCCGGCAGCACCCGGCACGGGGCCGGACTGATGACCCTGTCACCACAAAACAGTGACCACAAGATCCAGGGTGTGATCCTGCCGCGGGCCAAGGGGCACAGCACTTGGAGAAAGGAAAGAGTTCCTTCCAAGTAGCTGTCGTGTAAATTCCAGACACRGGGACGTTCCTGGAGCACGGAGAGGATGAAGCTTTAGTCAGCAGAGCTTTAGTGTTGATGGAAGAGGTTTATCAGCCATATGGTAGCAGGCTGGTACACACTGACTAATCCATTTTGAAATCCTAAGAGAGAAAATACCTTGCCCTTTTAGAAGCACCAAAAATAGAAATTAAAACATCAAGTAACAGCTTGAAAGGCTTTGTCTCACATGGGCAATACCAAGAAAGTCTGAAGAGCACAGTAYGAAATTTCTTCCATTAAAAAGATTATTTCTTCCTAAAAGACCATTAAAAAAAAAAGTATATTTATAAACTGGTCTGAGGAGACATCTGTAAGCAAGTGTCCCTATAGCCTTTGCTCTTTCAGAGCATAAGTGACAGATGTGAATGGCAGCTTTGCCCACAAGCGTCTCCATCCCAGAGCTGGAGCCTCCGTGACATTTAGCTACGTGTAACTTCATTAGGGCATTTTGTGCCGTGGACATTTACTGCCTTTTAAATACGCCAGGGTGAGCACTTACAAGGCCATTAACAGAGTTAACGTGACTCACAGCACCTGTGATCAGGAGAAACGAACACTCCAACTAGCAGCACTGAGCAGCAGGATAGATGYGTGTGGCAATATTGCTGCAAACGTGGTCTATTCAAGGGCAGGCAAAAAGCAAAGGGCACCAGAGAGGCTGCAGGAGCCCCATTAACGAATCCAGCACCTCCACAGGAACCCGGATTCGYGGAGCCCAAGACAGCGGCGCTCCAGCACGTGCCACTGCTCCTGAGGGAAAACGGGCCTAGGATGGATATCAATCAGAAAAGCAGGTTTCTTTTAGCAAAAGTTTCTTTTAGACTATTTTCGATAAAGTCTGAAGGCACCATAATAATGAAAATAAATGCACTGAAAACAATACATAATATTTGTTCTCTTTAAAGCTACTGAAGGGACGCAAGCCACCAGCCGAGCCGCCGGGAYCTGCGCTGGCTCAAGCCCGAGAGCAGGGTCCAACAGCAGAGGCTTCCTATGCACGTACAGAGCTTTATCTGGAAACAGGGCGAGCAAAATTCCMAAATCTGGCTGGGAACCAAAGGTGACAGGCCTTGTTTGTCCTCTTTCAGCAGCAGAACAACACCAAAAGTGCTAATGAGGCCAGCCACTACTTGTAAAAAATTTTAAAGAGCTGTCTGCAGGTGACAGATAACTGCTGAAATCTTAAGTGTGGTGTATTTGTTCTTAYGCATTTCATAAGCTAAAAGTACCTTGGAATTAGAAGATTGTCATCTCCACCTTAAGTCTTTCATTGCACGGTGAGYGTAAAGTTTCCTTGTTAAACACACTTAACCATAACAAGGCACAAATCCACAAGACAAACACRGAAACGGGAAACAGATATGCACATCCACCTGGCCAGCAAAACAAGGCGCCAGACTAAGCGCGATGGCTCTTCTTAGCAGGAAAAAAAAGGACTGAAATGACTAACTGCTGAAGCAGCAGTAACAGTTTAAAAGGACGCTGAGAAGGGGACAATTTACATATTTCATGGCTGAGGCGAAGCGCTGTCAGGAGCGATTTAAACCAGAAAAGCTTTCGCAGTGTTTCCAGCGCAGGTGCCCAAGTGTGTTCCAGGGAGGGCCCCTGTCCCAGCGCAGGGCCGGGAGGCGCCGCCGGGATGGCGGCTCCGAGCCGGGCCCCGGGCACCCAGCCTCTGCCCCACACAAACGCCGCCTCCTCCCGTTTTACGGAGCCCGGCTCCCGTTCTAACGCTCCGCGTTAGCAGCGCGGGGGCCCGGAGCACGACGCGGCCGCAGCGCTCAGGGCCGCAGCGAGGCCGCGCGGCGCGGAGGCCTC